ACTCAATTACACTAACAATTAGTGTGATAAAAAGTGACTAAATCAAAAATAAAAAGTGAACTAAAAATAAAAAGTGACTAATTCACTAATTCGTCTAATCCTGACTTACAGTAGCGGTGATGCAACAAAATGTTTGAAGGGTATTCATCATGTTCTTTTTTGTTTATTTTCCAGTACTACAACTACAACAGTTGACGACGTTAATCAAGTGAGTTTGCCCAGTATTTCACTACCTACTAATTCTGCAGTCGTATGCAGACCTATTGCTTCGGTCACTCAAGTTCCTAAAGCCGAACAGTTAGAATGGAACATAGGTATGATTTTTGAGGGCAGTGAAAATGGATGCTAGACTCGGTCAATGAGCAAACTACACAGATTGACCGACTCAGAGAAGATTTCACTACTGACATCTCATGCGATGCCAAGCAGCTCATTTGAATGGCCTTTTCTCCAAAGAAGTAAGCAAAAGGTATTTTTATCAATGTAATGTGTGTGTTGTGTACCCTGCTGCCTTTTTACAGGAGATACTGTTTCAAATGATTGTGGAAAAGTACAAAAAATTGGTAATCTGGTGAACAAAGCATTTACTAACTATAATAAAATTCATTCAAAGTTACACCATCATGCTACCTGCAAATATCACAAAACGGCACAACAACAAGCTAAACAACTCCTATGCATTTCAAAATCTGCCAAGAACATTATTAAATTAATTGACTCGAATGTAAATGTTCAGGCCATGAAAACAGAGAACGCCTCAAGCTAATTATTAAAACGATTCAATTGTGTAGACGCTTAGGTTTAGCTTTGCGAGGACACAGGGATGATGGTGCTTCATCTGTTTGAGTTGATCCAACTCAATCAGATGATGCACTAACTGGCCAACAAGGTAATTTTAGAGCGCTTTTGGCATTTAGAATCGACAGTGGGGACACTTTATTAGCTGAACATTTAAAAAATACCAAAAAAAATGCAACGTACATACCTAAAACTAGCAAAAACGTACTTATTGACATTTGTGGAGAACTAATCTTAAAACAAATTGTGAGTAAGGTTAAACTACCTCAGTTTTTCTATTTATTGGTTGATGAGACCACTGATAGTGGTTACAATGAGTAATTGTGCATTTGCATTCGATATGTTGGCCAAGATGGCATCGTTAAAGAGGAATTTGTTGGATTTGGAAAATTGAAGATTTTACAGCCAAAGGCATTTTTGAGGAAATGGTTCAGAGACTCATAACTTTGGAACTAGACATTAGTTGTTGTGTTGGTCAGGGTTATGGTGGAGCATCTACAATGTCTGGTCATGTTAGCGGTGTTCAAGCGTTATTCAAAAATATCTGCCACACAGCCGTTTACGTTCACTGTTTAAATCTCGAGCTGAATCATTCTTCTGCTGTTGTTTGGAATATGTTTGACGTTGTCTCAGAAGTGATCAATTTCATTAAAGAGTCTCACAAGCGACAAGCATTATTTTCCTGTACATTAATAGGCTATTGTGAAACTAGATTTATTCAACGTCACAATGCTCTTTCGAGATTTGGTGACCATTTTAGTGACATTATTGCTGATTTAAAAGAAATCCATGAAATCAAAAGTTTGATGCGTTACTTGTTGCATTGCGTAACTCTTCTTTTTAATTGCAGTTATTATTTTTTATATTAATTCTATCTTTTATTATTATTCCTTCAATATATTATTTAATTAATTACACTTATTTTTATTTTTTTATTTTTAATAATAAAAGATAGAATTAATATAAAAAATAATAACTGCAATATAACAACGTAAAAAGAATTATAAATGATGAAGCAATAGTAAGATAATTATAGTATAGTTAATAATTATAAAATAAACAATTTAAAAAATAGTTATAACAATAATGATAAAGCTACTGCAACTACTGAACTACTTTGACCATCGTTATAGGTAATAATATTAAGGCAACAAAAACAAAGATATATAAATAATAATAGTAATAACAATAATAAAAATAGTAGTAGTAAAAATGTAAAGAATAATAATAACAATAAAAAAATTAAAATATGTGTAATTAATTAAATAATATATTGAAGGAATAATAATAAAAGATAGAATTAATATTCTTTAGATATTTTCTCACATAAAAATTTCTTAATTAGGTTTCTATTGAGAAGAAGAAAGTAACAAAAGGGTATTTAGTTAAAATCTTTTTTTTTTTATAAAAGGCATTAATTGGTTCCAGTGAGAAATACATTGATGTTTTACGGAGAGCTTGCCATACTTGACAGTATTGAAAAAAGAAGGGTGCGAATTACCATTTATAGTAATACGAGTATAGTATTTATGTGTATCACTTGCTTTAATGAAAAAATTATTAAACGAACCCGGCAGATTATTTTGGAGGAAATCAAACACAAAAAGACAGTTGTAAAACATTATAAGATCTTGAAATTGTAAGATTTTTAATTCAGAAAATCTTTTTTGGATATTAGATTGAATATGAGAAAATGTCATAATTCTTATGGAAGCACGTTGCAAACTGTTTATAAGATTTAAAAGAAAACTTCCTTGTTGCCCCCAAACAACGCAACAGTAGCTTAGATAGGATTAGAACATGGAATAAAAAAATTGATACTAGAGTATGTTTAGGAACATAGTGTCGTATTAAAGATAACATACTATTGGCTCGAGAGAGTTTTTTATTTATTTAAAACATTTGATAATTCCAAGATTTTTGTCAAGAAATACTCCGTGATATTTTATAAATTCAGAAGGAAAGATTCTTTTACCGTTAGTTTTAATTTTAACATTATCATTACAAAATATTTTTTTTGGAGGGTGAAAAATAATGAATTCAGTTTTGTTGATATTTAGAGAGATACGATTACTATTTAATTTTAATTTATTTTGTTACTGCACTTTTGTTATCTAAAGTTGCTACACCGTCTACATCTGCATCGTCCCAAGATTTAAAAGCTATTCATTGTTTTTATAGCAGGTTTTTGAAAAGCACAGTAGAAGAACTAGAGTGAACCAGATTCATATATTTAAAACATTTCTCTCATGTTCATGTTCAAACACAATAGTCTACAAAATTTGTTTGATAAAATACCAAAAGAAAGTTTCCCTATTATATATATTATTTTACAAATTGCAATCACTCCTCCTGTAACATCTTGTGAACCAGAACGTTGCTTTAGTGCTCTGAAGCTTTAAAAATTAAGAATACGATCTTCTACGGTTGATGATTGCTTAAATGGTCTTGCCCTTATGAACATTCACCCATAAATTAATATTGATCCAGACATGGTTATCAATGATTTTGCCTTGAGCACGCAAATTGGATTTTGTGTTATAATAAAGTGCCCTGTGTTTATGAACTTGCAGTCAACTGATGTTTATAAGCTTGTTTATGAACTAAATGCAGTCTACTGTCTAGACTACAGTTAGTTCATAAACAATGTATGAACTTGTAGACTGCAGTCAACTGGTGTTAATTAACTTTCAACTGGTATTAATGAACTTATAAACTGGTGTTTATTAGTTTGTAATCAATTTATATTAATAAACCTATTTTATAATAATTTATATGCCTGTCTCGCATAAATTTTTGGGAGGAGGATACCCCATCCCAAACCTTCCCCTCAGTAAACCTCCAAGCATTACCCCGGAATTATCGGATTTGCTTAAAATTATCTGTTTGTTTTTTTAACGAGTTTGTTTGTTCTATGTCTTAGTTGCATTGAGTACAAAAATTAATTGACAAGAGCTGTTAAAAAAGTGCTTTACCTTTTTAACAGCTATTGTCAGTAACTTTTACTATGAGTAAATTTTTAATTAGCTGCTATTTACTTTTACTTGCGTAAACACTTTAAGGGATGCTTGTATATTTGTTATCTTTCTTTTTTTCTTAGATCTTGTTGATAATAATAATGGGGATCAACAAAAAAAGGTACAAGCCAACCTTATTAATAATTCCTAAAAGATTTTTAATAACAATGTATTATAAAAAATTTTTCTTTACAGAATTCCTCATTCATCTTCTTCCAAATCTAATTCAACAGAAAGTTCAAATAGAAAAAAAATTGAAAAAACTCTTACTAAAGTTGAGTTGGGAAGCCAACTCAACTTTAGTAAAGCTGAATTCATAATTCAGACCCTGAAAAAAAATTTGAGATCTTTGGGTACTGAGTCACGTTTCAAAAAGCTTTTTGATGTGGCAACTGAATCTGCTGAAACGATGGATTTAGACAAACAAGTTCTGCTTGGGTATGCTTTACTAGTTTAGATGCAGTTTTAGTCGGCCTCACCGATAGATTTGACTGAAACCACTCATCATTTAACAAGAGTTAAAGAGTTTGTGATTGGATCAAATAACATTGAATGCAGTAATCGACTAAATAAAAACTTCTACAGAGACAATTTTCCTAATTATCAAAGACTGCAGCTTCACTGGGACCTTTTCATTTACGAAGAGAAAAAAAAGTTCAATTAGATGATTTTCAATCAGCTCCAGATCTCATTCGCGCTAAAGAACAAATTGGATTGAAAAGCATTGCTTCGGAAATTTTCCGTTTTATTAAAATAATTCTGGTCCAGCCAGTGTCAACTTGTACAACAGAACAATATTTTAGTAGTCTGCTGGAATAAAATTTTTATCTAGCAGACTACTAAAGTTTTAAGATTTTGGGGCACTTTTGACAGATTTTAGGGATGTCTTAGACCTATTAGCCACGGCACTGACGACATCTACAACTTACTATTTAGGCTTACTTTGACTGAATTTTTATAACATTTTTATTAGTTCTCAATTTAACAACAACCAGTCAAAGTGTTATACTTTTATTATTGTCGACAAATATATGTTTTAAATTTTAATGATTTAAGTTATGATAGTTAAATTTTATTTTATTATTAATTTATAATCTTATGTCACGACTAAAAGTTGTTTTTAATTTGCATAAAAGTTAATTAAATGTTATAAATGAAATTGAAAATGTTACTGAATTTTCTTACATTCAAAGTATTTAGAAGTAGTATAGTACAAATGAGTATTCTTGCGAAAACTCTAATTTGCTCAATGAGCTGATCAACATTCATAACTTTTGTCCACAAGGCTTCAATGCTCAACAAGGCTAAACCATTATAGCGTTCTTGACCCATCAAATTACAAAGATTAGATTTTTCACATTCGAAAGTTAAACTGAATGAGAAAATTAAAAGCAATGACTGGCTAAAATATTTTGTTAAAGCTTTGAAATTGAAATAAAATAAAAAAGATAGGAATCGTCCATAAATTGTCGTAAAAGCCATTTATAGATTTATTAGACAATAGAGTAAAAGTATCGCGAACCGGACACTCTTCATAAAAAACCGGACACTCTTCATAAACCTGACTTCATAAAAATAACTTTTAAATAACTTTTTTAATATTGAGAATTTGTAGGATTTTTTTTTTCTGGAATATAGTTAATTATTAAAGCAAATCTGCAGAGTGAAAAAAAATGTCAAATTTCAATGGAAAACAAGATTTTATTTTTTTAAAAAATGTCCGCTTTTCGGAAAATTGTTCCTAAAATTACATGAAAAAACAAAGATAAATTGATAAATTCAATATTTTTATTTTTATTGTTAAAATATGCACATAATAATAATACAAACAGAAAAAACTAGAAAAAAATAAATAAAAAAAAATAAGCAAGCTTGAGCTTAAAATAAAATAAAAAACTTATCAACTAGGTTCTGCAACTTTTCGGACAAAAGAATTTTTCGCCTTTTATATATCTTTTTGAGAGACGAGGTTCACAAAACCACAAACTGCAACTAGATTTTTCACAAGTTTTCCATAAAACTTGCATCTCTGGCATTTCATTTTCGAAAAACTTTGGGCACTTTTTGTACTTTTTTTTGGTTTTCTTGGCAGGAGTTTCTAATTCTGTTGCTTGATTTAATGGAAAGAGCCCAGTGTTTTCAAAACCAACAATAATTTGAGTACGAGTGTAAGCTTTTGTTGCTTCTATACAACTGTGCAAAGAGACATGGGAAAATTTTTTTATAGAAATTGCTAAAACTACTTTCAGCATAATATTTTCTTAAAATATCATGCCAAACATCTTTAACATGACAATATACACCAACATCTAGAGGCTGCAGAATGTGAGATGAATGGGCGGGAATGCAAATTAGTGTTATACTGTTTTCTTTACATTTTAAGTCTATACTTAATGACACGTATGTGCTGTGGCCATCCAAAAGTAAAAAATGTTGACCACCAATTTTTTGAATATGAGGAATAAACATTTCATCGAGCAACAGTAAAAATTGATTACTTTTCATCCAAACAGTTGGTGATGTTGTGTAAAGTGTGTTTGGTGGGCCTCCTTTAATCCAATTATTATAAAGCCGATTCTTTGATTTGTAAACAACAAAAGGCGTTAGAAGGGTTCCGTCAGCATTAACACAATTGAGAACAGTGTAGTTTATTTTTTCGTTATTTCTAATCAATACTAGTGGATGCTTTGCACCTCTTCTGATAATTACTTTTGCTTTTGTCACCATTGAAACCAGTTTCAACACAATTCCACAAATGCATGGCTTTACTAAAACCTATTTTTGCTAAATCAAAATGTTTTTTCAAAACATCAAAAGACTCATAAATACTTTGTACTATTTGCGACAAGGTGTTCCATTTTTGAACAAACACGTTTCATCATTTTCAATTAATTTGTCTCTAACTAAACTTTGAACTTGATCTATTTGTCTACAGAAGCTCCAATCGCCAAGCATCTGAAGAAGGTGAACTAAGGTTAACTCGATAAAAGGGCTCAAATTTGTTGTATTGCCACTACCAACTATTAAAGCCTTATTTGATATTTGGTCGGATAATGTTGATTTTAGTATGCAGTAGAATTAAGCTGCGCCTCTTAAGCTTAACTCGCCGTTTTCAATCTTATCCAATGCGTTTTCTATTGTCTCCTCAGTGTAAGGCTTCTCATTTGTTTTATTTTTTGCCATTATAAGTTTAGTAAATTCAATTCAGTTACAGATTTTTGAAATTGAAGAAGCAAAGCACTTTTGTGGTTACTTTGTGTACTTTTGCACTTTAAGTTCAACATAAGTGCAAAAGTACAAAACTAGTTAACATGAAAGTGTGAAAACTTAAAAATCTCAAATGAAAAAAATTCAGTGAGCGTGGAAAAATAATAAAACAAATTAACTTTAACATAAAAAAAAAATCAATTAGAGTGAAAAAATAATAAAGGGATAACTGTGAACTTTTAATTGATAATAGGGTAAATTTATTGTGTCCGGTTTAAGGTGAAAACTGAAGAAAATCTTATTTCCGTCATAATTTTTTAACGGAATAAGTTTATGAAAACCTAAAACTATTTTTGAAATTAGCAAAAAATTTCCAACAAAATACCTTTCCTAGTTTTTAAATTGCCTTTTTAAATCTTTTATGCTAAGAACCTAATTTCCCCAAAAAAGTTTGATTTTTTAGGGTTAGATTTTGTTTGAACTTAAATATCTTATTAAATATCTTATTATTGCGGTAGTGGTGTAGTGGTAGAGCGCTCGCTTCATAAACGAGTGGTTCCGAGTTCGATCCCCACCACGCCCCTGGTAGTACCGCGCTCAACTCGTTTCTCCGCGCAGCGGCCTTGTTCGTCAAGGTTCGTGTTTCGTAGTTATAGAGTTGAGAGAGGGTTATAGCCACAAAATAAGTAGCCTCCTCGTCTGTAGTGGCCTTCTCGGCCTTGAGGAGGTGAAGTAAAATAAAAAAAAAAAAAAAAAAAAGCAATCATATGAATAATTTTTTTTTTAATTTTATATTTTTTCACACACTAAAAATTAAAAATTTTTTTAAGTTTTTAAAATATCTTTAATTTTAGTGAAGATATTTAGTTTTTTTTATAAGTGTCCACTTGTGCACAGTCCGGTTTTTGGTACTTTTTACTCTACCATAGATATTTTCGACGTTTCAAACTGAGAAAAACACCTGATATTTTTTCCTAAAAAGCTAATTAGATGTTTATTTTTTAATCTGAAAAGTGAGGTTATAAACTTGCAATTTAAAACTTTTTTTTTTGAAAAAAAAAAAGAGGTTTTAAATTGCTTTTAGATTTTATATTACTAGTTAAAACCACAAGATAATTATTGATGTAGCAATCAGTGGCAATAGAATTATATTTTTTTCAGGGGTGTAGAGTCGTAAAAAAAAAGTAACGACTCCGACTCCAGTTGTTGAAATTTTTTGAGCGCAACTCCGACTCCGATTCCGACTCCAACTCCGACTATGGCTCCGACTCCAAAGCAAAATTTTTGAAAAATTCTTTGAATTCTTAAAAAAATATTACGCGATAAATTAAAAATTTCTTTTTTGATAAATTTAAGAAACGTTCTTTAAGGTTTAGTATGAACATAACGTTAATTGAATGTTTTGTACATCCACGTGTAATACCGGGAAATTTTACTATTGGAGTTGGAGTCGCGATTTTGTTAAGCGATTCCGACTCCGACTCCGCTAAAAATGTTGCAACTTCGCAAATCCGACTCCACAGCCCTGGTTTTTTTTTTTTTCAACATTAACTATGTTGTTATGGAATTATATATAATTCTATAGCAATATAGTGGCTATAGAATTGTCGTTATATAATAGCAAAGCAAATGTCTTGGTATCATCCGTTGTGTTTTTCAGAGTTCAATAATTGGATCCCTACATTTCTTAATTTTATAAATGATCTCAATTAAGCTTCTAACCTCATAAGTAAGCAGATAATACCTAAAATTTTGGTGTAGATAGTTCTAAAATACTTTACGTGGTAATTACGTGGTTTCTTTTTTTAAATAGATTTAATTCAATTTAGTTGTAATTATGTATTAAGTAGTTTTTTTAAAGTAGATTTTTGTAGATAGTTATTTTGTATAAATTGATGTAAACTTTTTGTAAATGAGTTATATTCAAGAAGAAGAATAACGGGGCATGGATTTAAGTATGAAATTATTGGATATGTTTGAAATGTATGATGAAATTCGGACGATGCCGTTTTTGCATACAACGAACGAAAATAATTGCTAAATGCAAAATCCAGTTGATTTTATGCTAAGAACAGCTTTGAACCGTGTATACTACAAAAATTCCGTTGGTGTTTTACAACTACAAAGGTTTAAACCATTTTACACAAAACTTGCAAAAAATCCTGGCTCCAAAGAATATCTTTCAATCTTTCAAATGTAGGGATGAAAAACACGTGGCTGCATAATGCTTAAAGATGCAAAGGAACCAAGAGCAAGAGCAGGATGCAAGTGCATCCTGCTCTTATATCTCTTAGGAATAGAATATCTGCTACCTCGCTCCTGAACAATGCTGGAATCAGCGCATTGTCTATTTTTCATCTGAAATTTAACAGTGTGGTAGCGACAGCTATGTTAGACACGGGATGTTCAAAGACACTAAAATTAAGAAAACTTGCATTAAAAATAAGATTATGAAGCAACATTTAATGATATTGAATGGAAATTTAAATGGAAATATGGAGAAAACCCCGACTAATTATTCAACAAAGTTGCCCACAAAAATTATACAAAAATATGCAAGAGCAGAATACGAAAATGAACTAAAAGATTTATTTTATGTTAATTCACCTCTCCAAGGCCGAGAAGGCCACTACAGTCGAGGAGGCTACTTTAGTTTTGGTTAGAACACTCTCTTAACTCTATAACTTCGAAACATGAAACTGAAGGAACAAGGTTACTGTGCGAAGAAACAAGTTGAGCGCGATGCTGCCAGTGACATAGTTGGAATTGAGCTCAAAACCTTTTGCCTTTTAGGCGAATTCTCTACCACTAAACCTTGTCGCGTAGTGGTAGAAAATTTGCTGACACTTTTATCAAAACGTATACAAGAGATGCAAATGTGTGTGTTGAGAAGCTGAGGGAGTGGAGTATGGGAAACAAATCAGTGATCATTGATTTATGCGAGTTTTATCATCAGTTAAAAACTCTTTGACAATTCTAAACAGTGGTATTTTGAAACAAAAAGTATTGTTTGACACAACTTGGTTTTGTATTGAATGTTGCACCAATGATTATAAATTTTTTTGTGTATGCCATTATTCATCCCCATTATAGCATCCCCATACGTGTACAACATTTTTGCTAACGATGAAATATTAGGCCTTGATTTTGTCAGAAGACATTTCA